AATAATTACCCAGGGTTGCATTCTCCTCTTCTAGCAACAACTCTTTAACTTCAACTAAAACGAAAAAAAGAAGAGAAGATTAAGAAATAAATCAAAAGGTTTCCCCTTATTCAGAGTTAGGCAGCCGATGTTTGTTATTGAAATCCACTCTCAACTACTATTGAAATAAGTTTTTCAACAGTTGTCGTATTTCAATAGTGGTTGCAACCTATGTTTGTTATTGAAATGCATTTTCTACTACTATTGAAATAAGTATTTCAATAGTGGTTGCAACCTATGTTTTGTTATTGATATGCACTCTCAACCACTATTGAAATAATAACTTCATAAGTGGTTGCAATCAATTTTTATTTATGAAATGCACTCTCAGCCACTTTTAAAATAATTATCTCAATAGTGGTTGCCACATACCCCCTTCATCATAAATGTTTGAATAATACCAGAGAACAAATTTTAAATTATTAACTCGTTTTCAGAATATTATTATTAGAGCTTCCAATTTACAGCCCCCAACAGGGATTCAAAATTCTGAAAAAAGCACCCCTGCTCGTCATAACATTATCCTTAGATCATGACAAAGACCCAGAAGTTGGGGAGATTATCCACGAAAAAAATATCTTCACTATTGAATTGGTAGAGTTTCATCCTTACACCACGACCCCAGACGTAGAGGACATGAAATTCTCAATTCCTGAAGAGATACCCTTCCACATCATAACATCATAACTATGTATTCAGATCATCGGTATAATGAGCAGAGGAGAAATTTTCAAAGAATTAATGCATTTTCTACATAATTAATAAAACCTTGCCCTAGCATCAGAATCCTTTATTCAGGGGATATGAAATTCAAAATTTTGGAACAGACACCATTTAACAGCATAAATCTGAATTAAGATTCTTTGCTTAATACTTAGGAGTTGAAAAGACGATTTTGAAAGAAATGATGTATTTTCACTACATATATAATCAAAAGAGCTCCACGCTACTACCAGAACCCCTAACCCTGAGGCTATGAATTTCACAATTTTGGAAAACGACGCAATGCTTATAACATTTATTTCATCAGTTTAAACAGCTTGATACATGTATTCAGATGTAAAGAAAAATATTGATAAGGATTGCATCATTCATCATTTAAGGGGTTTTTGCTCCACTTCACAGCAACCCCATAGAAAGGGGGGTGGGCACCATGAAATTTACAGTCGTATACCCGGTATGCCAAATGGGCAGGAATACGTTGAGCTGTTTACAGGAAGAAGACGAAAAAAGTTCAATTTTTTACACATATCGCACGTCGCCGTCACACGATGCACGAAGGCGGATGAAAACAGATACCAATAGGTCACATGAGTAAACAAAAGAGAGGATCATTCTGTTTAATTATTATATGAAACAAATATTACACCTTTTCTTTTTTACCTGAAATGTTGAAGAAATGGTGCAAGGGATTTGTCTCTGCAAGAATCCTTTTTACACAGCTAGCTTAATTACAATATGATGTGGATTAAATTAAGGTTTTCCATTTCTAATAGAACATAACTCTCTATACTTCAATATTCATCACGTGTATATATAACACCCTGATATTACTTCAAATCATTTTAAAGTAGAGAAATATGCATTAAAGCAGGAGGAATATAATGACATTAAATTAAAAACATTTTTTACCGTAAAGATTTTTAAAATTGATTTATTACTTTTCAGTAAATTAGGACACTTCCATTCGTACATGCTTAAAGTAATATATTTTGATAAATGGAAATTATGTCTAAATATAATGAGTATTCCAACCGTATACATCTTTTTAATTTCATTGAATCTTAGGCTGTAAGGGATGAAATACCTTAAGTATATTAATCAATTGTTACGAAAACATCCCCAATTAATTAAACAAGCTTTATCAAAGATTAAAGCATTATTCCCCAATTATTTTTGGAGAAAGACAGAAGAAAAGAGTTTGATGTTAGTGTTACCTCTGGCATCAATTTCATGAATAGACACTTTTAATTGTTTTTGATAATTGGATATTTCATTAATATTCTCAATTTCTCCGTCATTCTCTTCCTGCTCTTGTGTATTGTTGTCATTTTCCTCTCCTGTTTTGATTGTGTCTAAAATTAGTGAGATTCATTATAATATCCTAATATTTTATTCTATTCTATTCAGTTCAAAAAACAGGCAGCACAGTATAATATTCCCGAATAATTACCCAGGGTTGCATCCTCCTTTTCTAGCAACAACTCTTTAACTTCAACTAAAACGAAAGAAAATAAGAGGGGAATAAGAAATAAATTAAAAGGTTAACTCTAATTCAGAAGAATGATACATTTTTTTGAAATACAGAATATACAGACCATCTTCATATCGAATACCAAGTTCTTGTGTCCCAGTTTTCTGACTCCTTTTTCTTCTCCATAGAAAAACAGCTAATATCAAAATAACAGCAAGTACTAACAGAAAGGCAGCAACACTACCCACAATCTCTGCTACATGGGATGATGTTTCTGGAAAGGGTGTTGTTGGTTGCAAGTTCAGTGTGGTGTTGTTTGAAGTAGTGTTCAATGTGCTATAAATGATAAAGACAAATCAAGTTTATGTAAGCAAAGGAAAAATTGAGGCAAACAGGCCTTGTGGATTACCTTAGCTTAATATAACCTATACAAACTGGTAATGGGTCCAATGAACATGAAGAATGGTAATATAATTTAATAATTTAATTTCACTTGTATCAAGCAATTTCATTGGCTGAATCATCAAAGGATCATATAATATTTTGTATAACATAACTTTCCTACGTCACAATGAGTTACTTCAAAAACGTATTGCTCCGCTTGACGTTACTTTTAAATATGCTATATCTGAAGCCTTTTTCCGGAGGTAAAATTGTCTCATTGTCAACACTGAAATTAAATTATAAGGAATTTGTGGTTTATAAAGCATAAAGTGCCCCAAGTTATGATATATCGTATACCATAAGTTGAAATAAGCTTCATTCCTTTAATATCTCTACAATAAAATATAATTTTAAAAAATCTAGAAGAGCAATAAATCCAAGTACAAATAAGAGAACGCATAGAACGAGGGCGCCTTTGATTGACATTTGGCAGGAATCTGGGCGTAATTGAAAAGTGAAAATTGTATCGACATGTCACATAAAATTTTAACATTTTTTTTATTCATCGGGTTTCTGTACAACTGGAAAGGAAAATATTTTCCCGAAATTGAGCTTTGATTTGCTAAAAAATAACTTGAAAATTGGCCAGATCAGACATTGGTACAAAATGGTACATTCTTAAACACGTTGTTCTAAAAATTTCTATCTCTGGGTCTTCTCTCCATGATTTTGAGACGTTATTTGTGTGTTTTTTCAAAGAAACGAATACACATTTTTAAAAAATGGAGAGAAGACCCAGAGACCATGAAAAATAAACTTTTCCCCCAAAAATCCAAATGTGTGAATGTGGTGCTTTTTTGTCCTTTTAAAATCATCTGTATATGGGTAGCGGTTATAGCTCAGTAAGTTTGGATACTTGTTCAGTTAACTTGAAGCGAAAAAATTTCGAATCGAGCCTGACACGCGGCTTTATTATTTTTTTATACCACCATAACCGAAGTTTAGGGGGGTATATTAGAATCAGCATGTCCATCTGTCTGTCCGTCCGTCCGTCTGTAGACAAAATTTTATCCGAACCGTTTCTCAGAAACTATTGGATGGATGTGTCTGATTTTTTTTCACTTGTAATTCACCATATGAAGGTGTGCACCTGGTATTTTCATCATGATTGGATGATTTTTATGCATTTTACAGGTTTTTTTTTTCTTATTTTATGGTTTTGTTTGGCTCATAACTAGAAAACTATTAGACTGACAATCATCAAACTGGGACAATTTATGCAATCTTGGGTAGAAGGTGTGTCACGACCTATTTTAAGGTCACCGTGACCTCTAATGTAAATGAATGTTTAAAAAAAAACCTGTCTTTTACTATTGAATTACACAATCCCAAAAATGTAAGAGTCTTGCTGAATCCCTATTTAAAAAATGTTAGATTTAAAAAATATTTGTTTATTATATACTTTACAGCAATCCATATCAAACGTTATTTTATAAGAGATAATCTACCTCTCCCAGGGCTATAATAATCAAGCACTGGTCAAGGAGAATTTTGATAACAGAAAATTTGTCCCTTGGCATTAATTAGTGGACATGCATCCAGTCAAAGATTAATTAATGAGTTCAGTGTGAGAAAGCTAGTTGTCTCAATCATTTCTCTTAGCTGTTATCTCTGATTAAGGAGCTCTTGTCCTTGGGAATTAGACAGAAGAACTGCTGGTCAGTTTAAATAGCATATGTCATTTGATGGCCTGCCCTCTATTTCTAAAATAAATTTGTTATAGATTAAGTTTTAATGCTAATTAGTTAAATTGATATATTTGTCAAGCTGTAATGCAACCATTTGATGGTTATTTGTTATAATTAATGCTTACACCACAGGAGATGTTTAAACAAATATCAAATGGAATTAAAAAAATTATGGAAATCCTTTTAAAGGTTGCCATGATTTCCTCGCACTCTAAACTGTTTTTAATAATTGAATGAACAATATTTGACGGGAGTATTATGGTGTGGTGGGGTACTTTATTATTTTTAAAATGAATTTGATATAAAGTTATACAGAGTAATTTGATTTTGTATAATATTTTTTTTCCAACAATTAATTTGCAGAGTAGCATAACAAATAATTGCAATTTATTTTTTTTTATATGAAAAAAAATATTGATATTTTATTTGGTTGCACCCTAGATTCATAAATTGAAAAAAAATATATTGAACATGCAATTATATTTTCACCTGATTTGTTTTAATACAATAGTGAACATCTTATAATAGATCCATAAAATATTTGTGAATTGGCACCTACTCTGAAAAACACATCGGGGGTATTTGTCCCCATTGGACAGTTCTAGTTTATCCAAACAACCATTTATTTTGTCAATTTCTTTTTATGTACTGATGTATTAAAATTTTGAATTAGATAAATTTTGGTTCAGTTTGGTTCGAGAGAAATCTATTCCAATCTTCTATTCTATAATATACATATTTACGTATCATACATCTATGCATTACATATTTTTGGTGTTTATTTTTTGTGAAACATTACTATGTCAAAGTACCCCTAGGAAAAACGGACATAAATGTTACCATCTGATAGATCTTTCAAACTATATAAAAAAACCTATGGACGTGTTTGTAAAATCTGACCAGCTATGTTCAGCCAACCAAATCATGGACATTAAAATAATAAATGTTTCGCACAATGGATTCCTGCATATCACATGCCAAATGCACCCATCTTCTTTAGAAAACGTGCATTGTCTGACCTGCTCAGATATTTGCATATATTAATTGATCACGGGTAAATCATTATCAAACATTGAGCTCGTGCTGATGTTTTCATATAACACCTATAGTTCTCTTACAAAACACGTACTTAATTTTCAATAAAATTTAGAAATTTCCTGAAAGTAGATATTTACGTGAAATAAATCTAGAAAAAGATGTAGAGCCACTTTGGGCCTTATTTGGCCCTGAGAATTTCTGAAAATTCAAAACTGCTCAGTTTAGGTTGCTAATGCAGTATTTATCACTTGGACTGTTGGTGACCACGTATCTATTAATTGTGACGTAATATCACATCAAGTCAATGCATTATGACCTCATAAAATGCGTCATTTTCCTCATATCCTGTAAATTCCTTTGAAAATGACCTAAAGTTAAAGCATTTTTTCAGTATTTCATATAGAGCACAACCTCTGATCCAAAATAGGCCAATACATAATGGAAGGCCTATTTCTGAAGATCAAAAACATGTTTTATTTTTTGGATCGTGGGCTGTGCTCATATTTTAATTCATTGCTGAAGGTAGTCAAACAAGAATATTTTCGGCAAATTTTAAGAACAATACAGTTTCTCAAAGCCTGTTTTCAAATATTTAGATTCTCAAAACGAAATTTCATTATAGAACATGAAAGCACCAAGTGCTACTTTATTTTGATATATGAAAATGGAAAGAGTGTGATAGTTAATTATTTGATATAAGTACAGGGCCATTTTATGCATAAGATGGCTCTTGCTCTTTAAATGCACATTTGTATAAAAATGGCAATGCAACAGTTCTAGGACTCTTTTAAATAGCGACTAATTACATGTATATATCCAAACTATTCCTCACTCTGCAAGTACACAAAGGGAATATATTGATCTGCCATGCCCAGTTTTCTATTTTACCTTTTCCACTAATCCATTTTTTAACTTTGAAGCATTTTAAGTGCCTAAAATCAATGCACCAATGAGCTTTTCTGATTACATTTTGTACATCTGTTCGTTTTTTTCCGTCTGTAAAATTTTTGACAATTTACACTTTTTTCAGATCTACGACTGGGCCAATTTCAAGCAGACTTACTACACATTAAACATTCCTTGATTAAGGGAAGTCAAATTCAATCAAAGTACCAATCTCTCTTTCAAGGGGAGATAATGAAGAAATAAGTTATCCTCCAAACATTACTGAACCACTGGCCAAAAGATTTTAAAATCTATCTGAAATATACTACAGATACCTACAGTGACAAACCAAAATTGATGCAATTTTCCCCGAAGTTTTTTATGTTTCCTTTATTCTCTGTGCATTTTGATATATAATTCAAAATCAAAACACTTTTTTTTAATTTGCGTTGATACTAATTATATAGGGGTATGATTTCTATCTGAAATATACTACATATACCTACAGTGACATACCAAAATTGATGCAACTTTTTCCCGAATGTTTCTTTTATTCTCTGTGCATTTTGATATATAATTCAAAATCAAACAAATTTTTTTTTTAAGTTACGTTGATACAAATTATATGGGGTATCCAGACTATTGGCTTGCACCCAATTTCAGTTGCTTTTTTTTAACTCTCTAGACAAGAAATGTCAGAGGAGCAAGGAAAACTGGCTTTATATTTGTACCTACAAGGTGAGAACAAAGTGATTTGGCAGAAATATTGTCTGTCAAGGAATCTAAATTTCTAGACTTGTGAAGAAATTTATTAATGAAGAAAGTATGGAAAAGAGCTCATATAAATGTACGAAGAGTCCAATTGTTGAGAGGAGTGACAGAATTTTGATTCGGACTGTGAAGAAAAAAAGAAGTCAGACTTTGAATGAAATTATTGATCATTTCAACCAACATGCTACTAACAAAGTGTGTGTTAGGACTGTCCAGAGGAAACTCCATTATTGCATATCATAGACTTTTTAAACACGCACGTCTCACGGAAGAAAATGCAACTAAAACTACCCGTGTTTCCATAAACTTTAATAAGCAAATAAAGGAATTGACGCGGTTAATATAAGTAATATTATCAATCACAAAAGGGCCCAGCCTTGTTTCCATCATATTTCAAGTTAAAGACTACACCTTGTATTTCCAAAAAATATACATCGACCATTGCTTTCAAACTTTTCAATTACAAAAACACTTTACATGACCTGGATAACGACTATCTGAAACATAATCCTCCTTCGTGTCCATGTTCTTCTTCATCCTATAACTATTATAGTCCTACTGGACACGTTATTACTGGTAACGTAAATATAGTTAATAATGAGGACCTTAGATCACTTATTTTAAAAGGTCCTAAATGTAGGGAACCCTGATCCTTCAACTGGCGTCGGAATTTCATAAATATTATGGATTCTGACAAAAATTACGCCAGAAGATGGTACCAGATATGAAAAAGAAGACGTTGACACCTTTTCAGAATTGATTAAATGTATCAGATCCATGTTAAAGCCACGTTTTAAAAGATTGAGGGGCAAAATGAAAACCATATATCCTTCTGTGTTCAATAAACCAGAAGTGAAAAAAGAATTAAATAGATTGAAAAAAATGGGTATGTACTGTTTTGCCGACAAAGCAGGTAACAACATTGTCTTCGTTTCTTCATTCTAGAAGAACTTGGATTTAATTCTACAAGTGGTAATCCTACTTATACTCATACTTCTCACTAAGGAAAAAAAAATCACCTCTTAGTTTTGAATACTTTTAATATTCCACAGAGCCAAAATGAATTTGAACTACCTAATATATATTGGATTCGCCCCCCCCCCCCCCGAAACTTCATAAGAATCCTTACAAACAAAGATACATTGCAGGTTCCGGAAAATATTCAGACCAAGCCTCTTTCGTTTCTTCTCACTAAGATATTGACAGTAGTGAAGGAAAAACTTCAAGAGTACTGTGCAACTATATATTCAATATATATATACCTATCAGATGTATATACTTTTTAAAAAATCTAAAGAACTTTTGGACAATTTGAAATCACAAGACTTTACAAAAATCAACAGCTTAAAAATTTACCACTTTTAAAAACTTTATACACAACAATTCCCCACGACAAATTAAAATTCAGGCTTTTTGATATCATTTACAGCTGCTTCTTCAATAAAAATGGAACTCGTAAATTTACTTACCTCGTCATTGGTCATTTGCTAAATTATTTTGTTAAAACAGATTCTGATTGCACACATAAATACTCTGAAGATGACATCAAGAAGATGCTTGAGTTTCTGATTGACAATATCAATGTGGTTTTTGGATACCAGGTATTCCAAGAATCTACTGGAATTCCCATGGGTACAAATTGCGCTCCGTTATTAACAGACTTATTTTTATATTCATATGAAGCAGAATTTTATGCAAAATCTTATGTGTGAAAAGAAGAAAACACTTGCTGTGGCCTTCAACTCGACATTTAGATATATCGACGACGTATTATCAATTAATAATGATTATTACCATTCCTTCGTCGATACGATATATCCTAGTGAGCTTGAGATAAAAGATACCACAGAGTCTGATACTTCTGCTTCATACTTGGATATTTTACTTGAAAAAGATACTAATGGTAATCTAACAACCAAGCTATATGATAAACGTGACGACTTAAACTTTTCTATCGTGAACTTCCCTTACTTGTGCAGCAATATACCTTCATCAGCAAACGGAGTATATATATCTCAGTTGCTTCGATACGCAAGAGCATGCTCTACGTATGAACAATTTCTTAAACTAGGTAAATTATTGACAAGCAAGTTGATGGAACAAGAATATCAACAGTCTCGTTTAAAGTCATCATTTCGTCAGTTCCACGGTCGATACAATGACCTTGTCAGCAAATACATTTTATCATTGAATCAAATGCTGACTGACGTTTTTCATAACAATTGTTAGTCCATTATTTATACAGTGGACCTTCAGATATCCGGACGCCAGATATCCGGATGCTTCAGTATCCGGACGATTTTTCATCGGAACGAAATTTTTAAATGTTATTTTGGTTTGTTTAACTGGTGATTCAGATATCCGGAAGCTTCACATATCCGGACAAATTGACCGGGAACCAAAGCGTCCGGATAAATGAGGGTCCACTGTACACTGATTTGAGGACGGATTTTTTCCGTTATTTCCTGATTATGGCAACGAGCACACGGCGGGTGTGACCGGTCGGCAGGGGGATGCTCACTCCTCCATGGCACCTGATTCCACCTCTAATGTTTCCGAGGTCTGTGTTTGCTCTGCTCTTTTTTTGTATATTGTTTGATTGACTTTGAGACTGAATACTGTTCGTTATCTCCATATCCTTCTCATGGCATTCATAGGCACAAACTAAGGAAGACTCTCACTGTGTCAGAAATGAACCGAAAACGCCGTGTAAACATATGAAAATTTAGAAATTTGATGACTATTGGAAATTATTGTGCTTCCTGTCAGTTTGTCTCTATATAACCCATTCCCTACTATTCTCACATAGTGGACTAAGGATTTATATAGCGTAAGCATACTGTGCCGAAATAGTGCACGGCCTTATTTACTTAATAAAATTTTCAGTGCACACGCCGGGACTCGAACTCACGACCATGCGGTTGCTAATCCGATGCCTTGTCGATTACGCCACATTCTAAGGAATGTTAGATAAGTGTGTACAACTAAGTTTCAAACTAATTACATACATATTGTACGATGAAGTGATGTCATGGGGTCATCAAAACGCTTTTTTATATAACGCTTGATTGAAGGATGTAAAGGAAAATTATCAATGAGAATCGACGTCTGCAAACAAATCAGTCTTACTGAAAATAAAGATGAGTTGCTTTGGGACAGAAAATCCTGCCTAATTTAGAGAAAATACTAGTAACCAAAATAACGTAGCATTCAACCAATTTTAGCATGAAGATTTTGAATGAGTTCTTGCAAATGCGCTGTGTTAGCACCGATATTTTCAGGAAAAAGTCAAATGGATTGCCACATAAATAATTACAACAGTCAGCATAATAATTACAAAAGTGTTGCATTATGCATGTACATGTACTATGCCTAAATAGTAGGCAGGGTTTGACACAAAGTGTACGAGCCGGAGGCGAGTGCACCATGTGTCAAACCCTGCCTACTATTTAGGTATAGTACATGTATAATGCAACACTATTATATCAAAAGAGATTTTTCATACCCAGATAGTGATGACAAATGAAAATCGTCTGTATGTGTGGAGAACACAGGATGAAGCGTATCGCGTATCATCCAGAATGTGTTGGTCAATATAAATACAAAGTTGAACAAAGTTGAAACATCCTCGGGTAGTGTATACAGTATGTTAGTTTGTTAAAATCATAGCCCCTGGGAGTAGGTTCATAATCGGGATAAACTTTTTTTTTAAGTAGGAATGGATCAGGAAAAAAAAATTAAGAATAGGCATAGGAATGTTTGGTCACATTGATTTGGAAGCATCCGCAGTTACATGTAGTACTGATCCTTGTTTGTTCAAATAATGGTCGCAAAGAATTAGATGGGGTCATAATACTGGATCATTTTTTTTTACATTGAGGTATATCGTGAATTTTTTTTCAAATATTCTTCTCATGAACAGCATAGCTGTGTTCAGTCATATTGACACGGAAGCACCCCCAGGTAGTGTAGATTTAATTTCAACACAGTGAAACCTGTCTAATATTTTGTCACAACTATTTTAAAATAAAGATATTCCAGTCTGAGAGTACACCATCAACAAGACCCAACCCGGAACTACGAAAGTCATTGTGACGTAGCCAACACATTTTATACGATATCAAGTAATTTTTTTATACAATTAAATACCGATAACAACAAGAATTGAATTATTTAAAGATGAAAATATTCCAGAACACTGTACCAATAAGACCCGATGCGGAACTATAGAAGTGAAAGTGACATGTCTTTCTGATGAGATCTTAAAACTGAGATCTTCTATCGCAGAAAGCATTTTCACGGTAAAGAATCATTAATACACAAGGTGATAGTCTATATTAGGTCTAAATTAAAAGCCCTTCAACGGTATGAGGTGACCTCTCTTTATGATTAAAAAAAAATCAAATATATTACAAAAGCAAGATTGAATCAATCCATCTATCAGTAGATTTTTTTTTCTCAAAATCTGCATAATAGTTGAGCATCTATTCCATCTGTCTGTATAAAAATTGTTCATTGATACTCTCTGTTAGGATGAAATGTATGAAGATAACGAACAGTATTCAAGATTAAAAATCTATAAAACAATATAGAATAGAAGCAGAGCAAACACGAACCTAAAAAAATCAGAGGCAGATACCATGGAGGAGAGAGCATCTCAATTAGGAGTGAGATCCCCATATTTAATTTATGAACTCTTCCTACAGAAGCTAATCTTCTTGGGTCGCTGAGAAGGCTTTCTAGGACAGGCACAGCTAAGAACATCCAGATAAGAATCTTAGGACGGCTCTGAGACTGCTTTCTAACAAGTTTTAAACGTCTTTTTTGTAGAGAACCACGGTGTTAATGAAAGTGAACTACATGTATAGTGTAATATAGAAATTCCAAGCTAAATAAGTTTTTCCAGACAAAATGAAAACGTAAGTTAATCAAAAATCTACAATTTAAAATACTACATTCTTATTTACTTACATATTAGGACATGATGATTCAGCAAGATAGCAATTGTGCTCTGCATTGATGCTTTGACAGGCAAAATCTAAATGATAATGAATCGTTTGATAAAAAATACCATTTGATAAAAAAAAGATTCAATACAAACAGTAGTGTGGCGATTTTAATTTGAACATTTTTATATAAATTATGATATAGTTCAAGAATCTTACATTGGTATATTTCATTGCTTTGATATTCCTTTCCAGGACAACCTGATAAAAATCCAAGGCAGTTGCTCCAGTAAAGATTCTCCCCATCGGTTTCCAAACAGTTCCCTATACAAGTATATATTTATGCAAACAAGAAAGAATATATATATATATATATATATATATATATATATATATATATATATATATATATATATATATATGTGTGTGTGTGTGTGTGTGTGTGTGTGAGGGTGTGTGTGTGTGTGTTAAAGAATACATTCTAAGATGCTTAAATTTTCGTTTGAAACTTAAACCATGACAAAAAAGCTAAATTTCTTTTATTGCTCACCTCTTTTTACAATTCCCATGGTTCCATTGTAACATAGTTCTATAAGTCCTGTTTTGTCTGTGTTAGGGACACAGAGATACTGGTCGTTCCCATACTTGTCCTGACCACATCCAAGCCTGGTGGAGGACTCTAATGCCTTTGTAATGTTCTGGGGACACGAATGCACGTACATTTTCATTTCTCCTGGAAAAAATATTGAAATTGTAAAAAGAAAATAAAGAAAAGTCTGAACAATATTACCCTATTGTCCCCTTGCTAAAAGTGAGGAATTCTTTCCTATATTCATATCATTGTATCAAATGATTGTATCTTTTAAAACCACTGTAAAATATATATAGATATATCTTTGAACCCGGATTGTATATTCAATGGGAAGGAGTGAAAGGTGAATGTGGAGTTGGGTTTATACTATTCTCAAGCACCAGTGTCTTTGCCAAATATAAATTAGCTTCGATGTTTTCATTTTGTAAATTTTATGTTAGAGGCATATTTAACAACAAGAGGCTCACCTGAGTATCATGTAACAACTTTCCAGCGATTGTATTTGGTTCGTATTTTAATCCAAAAGACATGAAATTCACATGAAATTCACAAATTTTGAGAGAGGCCCCATTGCTTATCAAAGGGCAGATTTCAAAGCATTAATTTATTTTTAGTCAAAGTACCCCCCTGTTACCCCTGACCCAGCGGCCCTGAATTTATCTTTTTTGAAAGAGGCCCCTTTCTTCATTATAAGGCCATCATTTTTTTATGTTTAGATTTAGTAATGAACATGAGAATAAAAAAGTGCCAAATATAAATTAGCTTCGATGTTTTAATTTTGTAAATTTTATGTTAGAGGCATATTTAACAAAAATTAAAAAAATGAAAACATTTTCCACTTATTGAATCGTGTAAGTTTAAGGAAGGCCAACTTACATGTACTTAAAACGAAAGTAGATATAATATCAAAGTAGAAGATTTAGATATGTAGTTATTATATAATATATAAGTAATTCAAGCAATATAGTTATTAAATTACCTTACAAAGTCATCCTTTTGCCATAAAATTAAAGCCTTTTATTGTTCCACAAAAGACGAGTGATTTTTCCCCTGACGTTCAATGTGTCCGAAATAATCTTCACCAGGTTTAAATATTCGTGTTACTGTCTTTGTAAATAGCACCATTAGCTGTTCTTTAATATATAGGATATTTTTAAATCCATTCTGCTGAACCTTATAGTTAGACAGACATATGAAAGACGATAAAGAAATGAATAAATCAATAAACCCATTTCAGTTAGATACAGATGATACTTTTTGATCTACAATGTAAATATGCCATATTTTTACGCCCAGCATAATGGCCTGAATGGCATAAGAAATTTTGATGGGAGAGAAAGAATAAATGAATTAATAGAGGCGTTCTGTAAGAAAAATAGAGTTAGCTTTACCTCAGTAATCAGTATACATGTAACAATATTGAACTAATACTTGGTTGAATAATTAAGGAATCTGGGAGAGTTATATAATGCCCTACAACATGGCGGCCATGGGGAATAACTCTTCTTTAAGTTAGCTCAATGGAAAACTATCACTACATGTAGGCAAAAAAGTTGCTTAATTATTTTATTCCAGGTTCTCCCTGTCCGCCTGTGCCCTTTCTCAATAAGTCCAATTAAGATATTTGTCTCTCCGTCTGCAAAAACTTTAACATCGGCGATAACTTTTGATTTCCTTGACATCTTTTTTAATTTTTAAGACGTTTTCCTTGAGATGACCTTTCTTGGGTACTACCAAATTTGAACTCTTGACCTTGAATTGAACCACCTTTACAATAAGACCCTTTACAATTTAATTGTTTATTTTTGATAATATTCTCATAAATTTAACAATTACTTCATTTTTATCGAAGATTAGAAATGATATGAAAATCTATCACTGGTACTTGTTTGATTGTACCTCTTGTATCTCTTTCAATGTTTCTGATATCCTGATTATGGATATAGATTCCAAAATTCTATCTTTAAATCAATACAGACGAATAAATAAACGTCACTCTAGACTGCAATGTATGGAATGCATTCTTTAAATGCAGGAAAACACGCACCTTTTGTATTTAAATCCACCAGAGGAAAAAAAGCTTTTGTGTCCCAAACTACAATTCCAAACAGAACTGCGTAAAAACATGGCGATTATGTAAGTGGGTGATTCCACAAATTTGAGACAAATTGTGTCACTCATGATAAACACTCTAATATTCCTGTTAAATATAACAAAATTTCCCTGATTTTGTTCTAAATATTAAATAAAAAGATATTCCTTTTTGTATTGATGTGCAAAAATGTTAAAGTTTGATTTTAATAATGAAAAATAATGTCACTGTATCATGTATCAATGACGTATATCAGTGTCCCTATGATAGACTTTCCACTTTCTGTGGGTTTTTTGACGCATCTAATTTGTTTTTCAGTTTTATTTGTCTTATTTATTCTAATACATTTCTCCTAAGTATGTTTCTTTTTTTATTCAGTAGGTTTTTTGATCATACTACTAAAATTTTGTTGTATATTTTTGTGTCACTTAATATTTCGTCATGACCGAAACGATTGTGCAATCTGCTATTTAAAATAGAGTTACTGCCTTTTGAATTATTACTCTTCATAAAAGAAGGCTCATAAACTACTAAAAGTTTTGATGGCAGGAAAGGAACAGTGTAGGTCAAAAGGTTTAGAAGAAAATCCCGTTGTAAGTATCTTTTTTTTTATTAGTTCCTTTATGGTTGATCATGACCGAATGTTCTAAAACACGATAATACAAATATTTCACATAGTAAACTTGTTCCAAACGGCTTTATTTAATGTTTCTGCAATGTTATGTACATCATTGTACCATTCATACAGTACATATGGTGAGCTGATAAGGTACAGTAATAACTCAATTTATGTCATGACCAAAACTGTCATTTACCGCAACTTAATATGTTGTGGTCATGACAATCGTTACTATTTTCAACTCAAACTTTTTATCATTTATTAATTTTGCTAAAACAGCAACATATATCATTAAATATTTTAAACTATCAACATTATAATTGATTTTTTATTTAATAAAGCATAAAACGATTGATTTTTTTTTTAGTGTTTCGTAGAGTTGGACTTGACAGACAAAAATCATGCATAATTAGACCGTTTAATTTATTTGATGTTACATTGTTTTTTATTTTTATTTTTATTGGTGTTTTGGTGTTTTTATTTTAGAATTATTCATTGACATTTTTATATGTATAATAAAGCAATGTCATGACCAAAAATTTAATGTCATGACCGAAAATTTTAGTCATGACCACAGCGCCGTCTTTCGTGCAAATAAAATTACATGCTATTAATTATTAGTAAAAAATAAGCCTTAGTTATATAATTATCTTCATTTTATGCCTGTTACTTCCTAAAACGTATTAATATTTGTTTTTTACAACAACAAAAATTGATTTTGTAATTACACAAATAGCATATTTTTACATCTGGCTATTTATTTGGCCCTCTACAGAATAGAAACGTATTCCAAAATTTTACAACTTCTATTATATTACAGAATATTAATTTTCTTTTCATTTTCTTTTCATTGGTTAAAAAAATATATCTTTTCAATATATAGAAAAATAGAAATTGCATGTTTTTATATCGTTGCGGTCATGACCAAAGCATAAAAAAATTGATTTTACT